AATGTGACAGATCAGAAGTGGTACTTCCCCACCAATTTGTTCAATAACAATTTTTATCTATAATTTGTAATTGCCAAGATATATGTGTTAAATATGGCATAAATAATAAAATATTTAAGAATTGTACATTCCCTCCAATTTGTTTAATTATGATTATTTTATATATGATTAATAATTGTTAATATGTTAAATATGACATAAATAATCAAAATTTGTTATGAATGTTCTAGTAAAATTTGTTGACCAAGAAGAGACCAGTTCTAATTCAGACAAGGTAACCTAAGTTACAAGTCATACGTAGAAATTTATGATCTATTTGTGTCTAAAATATTTATGTTTAATATGGCATTTTTAACCAAAAATGAGCCAATAAAATTAGTTGAAATAGAAGAGACTGGTCTAATTGGGACAAGGTAACTATAGTTACAGGTCAGAAGTGGTATTTCATTAATTTGTTTAATGTCTAATATCATCAATTTTATTTATAATTGCTATGATATTTATGTTAAATATGGTTAAATAATAAAAATGAAATGTGACAAGAGAGTTGTTCAAATTTGCACAATGTGACAGATCATAAGTGATACTTCCCCTCCAATTTGTTTAATAACAATTATTTTATGTATAATACATAATTGCCAAGACATATGTGTTAAATATGGCATAAATAATAAAATATATGTGTAATGTAACAATAAAATTTGTTGATAAAAAAGAGAACTGTTCTTATTTGCACACAGTGATAGATATGAAGTGATACTTTCCCTTCAATTTGTTTAATGACAATTGTTTTATCTTTGCATATATACGTATATGTAAAATGTGGTGCAAATAAGCAACAATGTGTCATAAATCTTGACTTGTTGAATTGATGACAGAAGAATAGAACTGTTGCAATTTGGACGGGGAAGTTACAAGTCAAAGGGGCATTTTACCTCCATTGGTTTAATTTCCATCGTTATAGATATATTTAATTAATAATATCTATCATGTTAAATTTGGAGAGAGAGAGGGAGAGAGAGGTAGGGAGGGAGTGAGGGAGAGAGAGGTAGGGAGGGAGTGAGGGAGAGAGAGGTAGGGAGGGAGTGAGGGAGAGAGAGGTAGGGAGGGAGTGAGGGAGGGAGAGGGAGAGAGAGTGGGAGAGGGAGGGAGGGAGGGAGGGAGGAATGGAGAAGAGAGAGAGAGGGGAAGGGAGGAGGGAGAGAGAGGGGAAGGGAGGAGAGAGAGAGAGAGAGGAAGGGAGAAGAGAGAGAGAGAGAGGAAGGGAGAAGAGAGAGAGAGGAAGGGAAAAGAGAGAGAGAGAGGAAAGGAGAAGAGAGAGAGAGGAAGGGAGACGAGCGAGAGGAAGGGAGAAGAGAGAAAATAGAGAGGGAGCGAGAAGAAAGAGAGGGAGATCTGTTCAAATATTTTAGAATTGATACATTTTTTAATTGATTGAACGTTGTGTACAATGACTTCTCTTTATGAACCTACGGGGCGAATAACACACACAAGACACTGAGGTAATCAATTTTGATCAACAGATCAACATGACTTGCAGACCAACAGGGAGTCCCGAACCTCCAAGTGTTCACGAAAGGTGGCAAAGAAAGCTCTTCGACTCCACGGACCGCCGCTAGAAAGCACCGCACTTCACCGTAGCTTTCTACACGCTAATGAACTGTTTGCATATTTGAGCAAGTGCTGGAGTTTTCGACTCGACAAGTAAGAATGAATTCACTGCTATTTTCCCCCACCCCCCATCGCTGACTATGAAAAGAGATAAAACCGTCGCCGTAGGCTTTTTTGAAGCAGACCCCGGGGACATCAAACTTCAAAAGTAAAGCACGCTTGAAAACACGTAATAAGCAATATTACAAATTGTCAACTTTGTCGTAAGCATGAATATGAAACCAGTTTTGAAAATAAGGCTAAAAATATGACCCAGTAGATATAAAAAGTATATTCTGAATTACACACGCACTTTATATGTATGGCCCATACAAGCATACCCCATTTTTAAACTAAAAACAATATATAACAGTATTCAAAATTAATAATCGATCAATAATAATTGATCTTTTTTTTAAAAACACCGACACCGCGATGGTTGCTATAATGTCCTTAATGGGTTAATAATGTCCTTCTCAATCCTTCAACAGGATGGGTCAATATTATTCAAGACCACGTTTTGTTATGTACTCGTATTTCTCTCATTAACTATAGTACATTTGTTTTTACATACTTGCACTCCTGCTTTTATTTAATTGATAATTAATCAAGATCGCTCGTTTAGAAAAGATAAACTTGAGAGATAGCTGAGATGCACGTACTACAGGAAATTGTCTTACATTCTAGCAAACGTTTGGTCATGTACTCTCGAAACTGCATCGTTATACGACTGTGAATCGCTTTACGACGATGGAAGATAACGATCATGCAAGGCTCAAGATGATTTGTACAGTTCAAATCATAGGGAAAGCCCCTACTTACTTACTCCAAGATGTACTTCACAATTTCAAGAACAAATCCTTATTGCACTTGTTTGACTAAAAGATTTAAATTATTCTCGCTGCAGATAGGATCAGAGGCTTGATATCATAGATGACATACAACAAACAGTACAGATCGGTAGCATTGATCGATCGGTTTCCTCTGTACATGAATGTTGGCAGTGTTGACTTGCTAACTAAAACAAGCACCTGCATCATGTAGAAAAATTTTCACATTAGTGCCTTCTTACATGAACTAGCTGAGACAAGAGTAACTAAATCGTAAGCGAATCGTGCCCTGACCATTTGTTGTGGAATTTTGGTAAGTAGTAAGTATAAGAAAAAAAGATCGTATAAGAGACAAAGGAAAGGCCCCAGGATACTACCCTGTGAAACTTCAGCTGTGATTGGTTTAGACGGTTAGGGGTTCCATGAGAACAGAAAGTACGTGTTGTGGTTATTTTATTATTTTCGTATAAATATAAATTGATTTTTGTGATAACCTCTAGCTGTTTAACTCAAACAAGGTAGCAAAAATATTGGACTGTAATGACCAATGAGGCTTCTTTTCCTGTTTTAAACTAACAATGACCTTAGAAATTGTCCTTGATGAATTTAGAACAGTTTTAATGGACAGAGCACTTTGCGAGAAAAAGAGGGAATAAAGGTTAAAATTGTTTGAATGGACTCTTTCAGTCTAGAACTTAAATATGTCTAGGGTACTTCATGCTCAAGACTCTAATTATAACATTTCTAATTAATTGAATCGATAGAGGATGATGTTCATTGTTTAACAAGAAAGATGAAATATTGGTATTTGAAATTTGTATAGGGTCTTAAACGGTTTCGAGGAAAAACCCTGAAGGGAGATGGACATGTTCGTTTTTCACGTTTTTCCATTTTGGCCTAAAGCGTCAGACAGGACAAAACACCATGGCGACACAGACCAAAATGACTAAACAACAAAGGATAGATGAAACTGAATGAAAATGCCTCATGCTTCACTGATAACATGAAATAACTCCGCTGAGAACTATCTGTCGCCAGTCCGATGCAGAAACAAACACAACCTAATTAAAACAATTAAATTTAAATTAAATAAATTTGAGAACAACGGAGCTTTTGAGACCCACTGTGAAATAGCCCGACAACCGGCAGGAAGTCACAATCGGACAATAACTCATAGTTGAATTATTGACAGTGTTCTAAAAATAATTGAATCGGAAACAGGGCGGGGTTTGTCAATTATTTGGCAGATCCCCACGACATAAATGTTATATTCAAACCGTTCGGTTAAAAAAAAATATGGTATATAAAAATATAAATCATCGATTCCTAGCTATTTACAGAGGCAAAATGCTTGTCATTAGTTTGTTATTATATGCAGGTCAATGAGGAATGATGAGTACTCCATCTATTCTACTAATTAATGCAATGTATATAGGTGTGAATGTATTTATTTGCGTGAATGCGCACTGAATGTGAGTTGTTAAATTTCGCATGCATCGGGGTTGAAATTACCAAGCTCGTTCACGTAATTTAAAAAAAATCATTCTACAATTAAATACCATAATTAAATTCATTTGAGGCTTATATCCGAATAATTATACAAAATATAAGTAAGAAGAAAGAAAAGAGAAAGAAATGAGAAAGAAGCAGAAGGAAAGTTTTCTTCCTTAGCTGTTGGTCATTATATCACATTCTTCAGAGTTATAGAATCTTTTAGATAGAGAAAAACGTTTAGATCTAATTTAAAATTAACTGTCAGATTTGTCAACATGCAGGAAAGTGATGTTCTGATAAAAACTTTTTATTACTTATCTTATTTTCAAAAATTGTACGTAAATATTTAATAAATTGAGGGGTTTTCTTATGAGGTATGTGGTGGGTCAGGGAGGTGATGAACCAGTAGGTTTGGTTCTCCCCAGAACCTAGTCTGCCTATTGTTGGATTTTCTCATGAGGTCTGCGTTTGATATCCAACGGTCATCAGTGGTCTGTCGGGGATATAAGCGAGGTTTTATAAACAGCCAACTGAATTGAGCGAAAAGCCTGTGGGGTGATAACCAGTAGTTTCGGTGAGTTGTTTGCTGCGGACGTCAGTGTCCGTCATTGGTAAGCAAGGTGAGGCACCGACCCAAACCAACTTAAATAGGCAAAAAGCCTGGGAGGTGATGAACCCGTAGGTTCGGTTCTCCCCTGAAACTTGTCTGCCTATTCTCGCCCGTTTCGGTGTCTCGCCTTCGGTAGACGTCAGGGTTATAAGTAGGGAAAGGCACCGAAAAACTTAAACTTAAAAAGCTTAAGAAACAGAAATTGCTGAAACGCTTCTGACATACCAAAACTACAAGGATAGAAAAACCAAAATGATAAAAACGACCAATATTTTTTATCAATATTGTCCAAAACGCTTTTTTTCCACAATAAAATTACATTGTTATTAAAAGAAGAAGAATTACAGCGTCCTAGCCCTTCAGGGCAACCTGGACAAATTGGTTTAAATCAAGTTTGTTTATAAGTAAACACTTACTAATATAGAACGTCGTTGGCTAAGTGTCTTTCGTAACGGACGCTTTTACATAGAGACCTTAGAACTGAATCTCTATAATGAGATAGGGCTTCCAGGCCGTGCAATCCATAGTAGATAATCTGTAGATCCTGGAACAGAAAAGAAAACGTTAACAACGCTATTTACTTGAGAGAAAAAACACATAATGGAATAAATATTATTTTTAAGTTGTATGAAATCTACTATGCTATTCATAATTTTTTTTTATCGCTATTCCAATATTTCAGGACTATAACATTGTTAATTGTATGGATCTATGTACCTTCATGTATTTTTTTTTATAAATGTATTAATTTGCGTGAATGGATAGGCTTATCCCCAATTGCCCTGAAGAACATCTAGTACCCTGAGTAGTGTGAATGATTTGTGGTGTATGTATGTAATTTATTAGCGTAAATGGCAAGGCTTACCGAGTACTTTGGTATAGTGAATGCAAGGCAGACAATTGTTTTAGATATGTTTTTGAATGTGTTCGTTATTTGCGATGTTTGAGCCACAATTAAATTGGCGCTGAGGTACAGAAAGGTAGCAATAAGATAAACAGAACAGAGAGTCAGTTATCGTTATAACATATAACATCAATAATCCTGGGGTAGTATGAATGATTTATGGTGTGTATATAATTTATTATCGTGATTGGCAGGGTTTATCCCCAATTACCGCGAGGGATATCAAGTTTTCTAGGGTAGTTCGAATGCTGCCCAGACCATCATGTGTTTATCTTGTCTTTGTGTTTCTGTGTATTTTATAAACCAATGACGAGGTCCTGAGGTACAGAGAAGCTAGCAATGGGGTAAATAAAAGAGATAGTTGGTTATATCGTAAAACATCATCTTAGCATAAAACAGTAAAAAAAGTAAGTTTTTCGAAAAAGATAAGAAAAGAAATGCAAAGATAAGAAAGAGATGACTAGCAATGGCCAATGTGGTTTGCCGATTCTAAAACTACTAAACTAAAAATAAAAATAAATAAATGAGTTTTGTAATATAATGCGAATGCAAAGTTAGAGAAGCTTGTTTCTGAAATATTTGGTTCAAGAAACGAACTTATACTCCTTGCTTAGTTTAAAAAGCATAACGACTTAATCATAAGAGGTTATTGTTAACTGTTGAATATAAAAATATAAAATATTTACGATCCGGGAAGATCGGTAAGTTATACGGCAGCTTTCACGTGAATATCGACGAGATCCGAATATTTATCTAGAAAACGTGGTTGAAAGACAGTTTGCGTGTTAGAAACAGATTAGAGCCACCGACGAAAAGAACGTTTTTTCGTGATATTCCTTATTGGAAGAAAGCTCCCTGCAGAAAAATTGAAAACGGTGGCTCGTTACATGATGGAAAAATAGACGCGTCAATGCTAAGCGAGTTGTAATCGCCGGTTTTTGTGGCGTCTTCCTAGTGTTATTGACCTTCGTAAATACTCTGGGAAACTACGACAATGCTTGTAGAAATTATGTACGATAGCATGTGAGAAATACGAGAAAAAATTAAAATTCTTTCTTCTACTACATACCAATTACTTTGCAATTTGCAATGAACGGAATGAAAATTCTTTTTGCAAAAACATAACACGTTAATAGAATCTCAACTGGTATAAAGATTTTATTTATAAGGCGATAGCACATTAAATCATGTATAAAAACATAAACATCATCAACAGGAATTTACACATGTCGTAATAGACATCGAAAACCGATCTGGAGCAAATCCAGGATCGATTCCCCCCTCAGCTCGTACTTTCGAAAATTGTGAAAAGGGCTGCCACCCTTGGACAGGCTCTTTGTAATTTATCCTTGAAAGATTGGCTATTGTGATGGTGGCTTTGGAGCTTCTCCGACCCGAACTATCACCCTCATCTCTTTTAGAGCCTTTTTCACAATTGGGAGTTTCGTCATTTGTCTTTAAAGAGGATGCTTTTTCAAGACCTGTCTGTTATTCTTCGAGTTAAGGGGTTCATTTCATGATAACCGTTCATTTACCATTTAGTCAAACAATAGTTAAAGATAGAAAACTATGTAAATAAGCCCATGAATCGGGACAGAGGCATGCGAAAAAATTTATCGAAGGTTTGCAGAAACTAACTGCAGATCTACTAAATACAGGACTTGCTAGGACTAGAATAATAGTTCAATTGCTAAATGGCCACTGCAGACGGCAGATCTACTAAATCTAGGACGTGCTAGGATTAGAATAATAGTTGGACTGCTAACTGGACACTGCAGACTCAGGAGGCATATGTACAGACTTGGAGTGGCAGAAACAAGCCTGTAAGAACAGGCAGAAACATATTGCCAATAAGAAGAAGAAACTGCGGAACATGTCCTCTGTTGGTGCGTAGAGCTATGCAGGCTGAGATTGCCCTTCAAAAGCTTTGGGGTCTGGTAAAAAGTCTCAAGCTTAACGAGGAGCTCGAGATTAAAAAAATTGAGATGCATAAAAGACCAATACTGGTGCACAGGGCGTAAAGAGGCCGGCTTCTATATATCTAATCTAATGCCCATGAACTGGCAATTGTACGCAAACATACAGCTGCACCAAGAGAATAGAATGTCACGCAAGATTTGGTCTCAAGGAGCACGATTACATTAACGTAGGAGACAGAAACACTACAAATTAAACATAAAAAAATAGATGAAAGCAGATAAAAATATATATAGAAAGAGATGCACAGAATAGAGAAAGCTAACAGATGAAGCGGAGAAAGGATGGGAAAAAAAGAGTAAGTGGCAGAGAGTGAGAAGAAAGTGGAAGTAAAGCGAGATTAAGAGAGAGAGCGGGAGAGAATGAAATAAAGAGAGAGACTGGTTCAAGGTATGATCATGAAGAAGAAAACAAATTCAGTTGATGTGATTTGTTTTTTATCTGCTGGGTGGAAGGAACTTGTATTGTGAGATAACTTGTCCTTATGGCTTAAGAAGAATTGTAGTTTAGTCGTTTCCGATCATTTTGGTCTGCCCGTCTTCGCTGTTTTTGGTCTGTAGGTCACGTTTGGACATTTCACCATCTTCAGTAAACGGATAATCTCCGTTATGGAACAAATTGGATTATACTTTGGTATGTGCTCCTTTAATTAATACACACTCCATTAATTAATTCATTCGCCAAGCTTTCAGCTTTATATTTGGCAGTACATAAGGAAATATATTAAGTTTCTGTTTTCAGCATTATAAATATCGACCACTTTTTCATTTACGAACACTCTGGATCAAGGTATGGTTTTGAAGAAGAAAGCAAATTCAGTTGTTACTGCCTTCGACCTCTTTCAAAAGTCATCATCAGCGCAAAACAATCCTAAATATGCCTACACATTGACATATTTAAAAATTTTTCGGGCTATTTCAAATTTACTTCAAGACCGACTCCTAACATTGTCAAGGGCTTACAGTCGCCGTAAATAACTTAAATATGCCAATCTGTAGACATATTTAAGATTGTTTTGCCCTGAAGATCACCTTAAAATAGGTAGAAAGCTTGGCAGTAACAAATCAATTTGCTTTTATTTCTAAGACCATACCTTGATCCGTGTTCGTGAATCAAAAATTGGTCCATAACTCTAGCATTGAAAATATGTAAAGAGAGGGAGAGGGCGGGCGCGAGAGGAACGGAGAGAGAGAGAGAGAGAGAGAGAGAGAGAGAGAGAGAGAGAGAGAGAGTACGGAGCAAGAGAATGTTAATGTTTCATTTGTAGTCGCAGAATTTGGTCCAATTTGACCATCTGAAAATGCTTTTTTCTTCAAGACTATACCTTGATCCAGTGTTCGTGAGTGTAAAGGTGGTCGATAATTCTAACATTGCAAATCGATAAAGAGAACGAGTAAGGGAGAGAAATAGTGAAAGGATAAAACGAGATTTTTGTTTTCCTTTTTTAACGAATGTGACACATGTGACACCATACATTAAGTAATGCATAACTGTTACTTTCCGGGGTACGATGTCTTAACAACTTCGGTAATGTGTCATTATCCAATTTTTTAGACAAATACACACACACAATACGTTAAACTCTCAATAAACAATCCGCCGTATTTATTTGTCAACACGTGAGTCAATGAAAAGATGAAATCGACCGAATACCAAAAGATCTGAAAGTTAAGTCTTTTATCTTTACCCTTGTGCGATGAACAATTCGGGAGATAATCAAGGGAAAATCCTTTTTTTTCTTTCTCTTTTTAAGCATCTGTCACAGCATGCATTGCAGATTGCACCACTGTTTCCGACTCGATGTCTTGCAGGCTTTGACACCGTGTTATTTTCACGTTCGGAAGACGATTGTCGGCGAGGCCCGGGTCAGTGAAGGGCCACTGGAAAGAAACGTACTCCCGATCGGCATGGTCTTGCCCACTCCTTGTGCAAGACCCGCCGGGATTGCGACACGACGTCGTGAGGTACAAGCACTTCCTCACAATACAATGGCCTACATAAACGCCTCTTAACAAAAAAACAAAAAAAAAGCATGTGTAAATATTTCCATTATGCCCTACGTTATGTCTAAAATTAGTGAACAAACTAGTCCGAATGAATGAAAAATATAATAATTTACAATCTGAATTTCTAATAATATAATTTAAAAAATAATATCTTTAATGTCTTTATAAATAATATAAATATGTAAGTTTTTGTTTTAGTTGTACATGTTACAAATGTGATCACAGTTTGTTTTTTCACACGTCGTAGCACTAACACTAATGCCAGCACTGCACCCCTGAGAACATATGCCATAAGAAACCAGCCGTTGCTGACACTCAGAGTGATTAGGTGGCAAGGTGGTCTCCGGGGTCATCCGATTAAGACGACGTAGTGGGTAGGTACCCTGGTTCTCTGGATGTGTACAGGGCTCGACAGTAGGGTTAGGTCGTATCGTATGGAACTTTTGGAATCGGGACAAAAGGAATGGTGAGGTTTGTGACGTAATAAGGATTTCTCTAAGAACGCAGTGGATGTTGGTTAGTTTGGCAGAACCCCACAGTTCCATTCCGTATGTCCAAAGTGGTTCAGTAAAGTCTTTAGTAGGTTAGATTAGTTTCGACCGGCAACACGGATTTCGATCTTACAAGTAATCTTCGTAGTTGTCCAAGTCTTCTGTC